TCTGTGAATAAAATGTAAGATTCTGAGCAATCTGGACATTTGGCTGTTATATTGGTCCCTTTACTACTCTGTGTATTGCTCTTGTTTTGTTTCCTGAAAGTTGATACACTTGCTGTTGTTGAACTACAGCCTAGTGCATTTCGTGCCATTTCCTTACCCTCTATAAAAGCAATGATATCTGTGACTGAGGCTGTGTCAAGGGAGACCCATCCAAGTACATTTTTTCCGATGTCAGTGTCTGATAGCCCAGCAACAACAATGTCTCGTATGATAACATCGGTAAAATCAACAGTTGTTTTATGGGTGGCAGTGGCATTGAACAGTGTAGTTTCAAGTAGCAGCCTTGCCTTTCAGTTTTGCATAAAATGACCGAATACTTTTGTTGTGTCCCTGTCTCATTTGAAGGAGTTCTGCTCTTCTGACGCTAGTGGCTACTGGGAAAACGGCCAGTTTTTTCATTGCTTTTAGAAATGCCTCATCGTTTTCATTAATTATCATGGGATTTTCTTTTAGGAGTTGATTTCCAAGGTCGTCCTCACAGCACTGAAACAGCTGTGCTGTCATCTCTTCTTGTCTGATGTCTGTACATCTCTTAAACAATGTCCAGCGACTAATAAAGTTTGCCCACTCTTCTTCTGAGATATCCTGACCGATGTGGGGGCAATCCATTTTAGGTGCCTTGTGTTTTGAGAAGGTTGAATGAATGTCAATCGAGTTTGGAAGATGGTGAAGCTGGTGACTGTTGAATAATGCAATTGCAATTGCTTCGCTGGGACCTTCAATGACGACATTGCATCCTGGGGCCTGGCAAGGTAAGCTTATTGTGGACATAATGTAGGAAAGAAAAAGGTTAGCAAAATCCTACCTTCTGTGTGTACATTAACAACTTCAAATGAATATGTAAGTGAATTACAATTTTAACCACTGACAAGAAGTTTTTATCTTTGAAATACCAGTGTTTCTTTAAAATTCCATAGAATGCATAAGAAACTAACATAAACAAAAGTTAGTCGTTGTTTTCAATAATAATCTTAAACAATGTTAGTTTCTAAATGAAATAACAATAAGTGTAAACAACAACAATATAAAACAATATAAAAACAATATAAAAACAAGAAATGACTAATGTCACTATTTCTACATAAAGTAGTATAAACTAATAATAACTGCTTTACTTGTTTCTACAATAGTTATTAATTGAAGATAATAAAGGCTGTTGTTGTCAAATTTCTTGGGGAAAGAAAATTATCGCTTGTAATATTGCTGACATTTTAACTAATGGTAAGCATATTTTGTATTGCAATGGTTCACATTCTTTTTTCTTTTTTCCATTTAATGTATTAACAATAGTTTTTTATTTTATGATTGTGATAATTATTTTTTATTTATAAAACTTTAGTGTGATTCACTACATGAATACTTATTCAAAGCTTATATGGTCCACAAGTTATTTTTAATAAAACAGAATATGATGTAATGAGTTGAAGAGGTGACAAAATGGATGTTCAGCCCTTGATCAGTACATATAGTGGTTGTTTTGATGGTTGTTTACTATTTGCTTGATTTGACATATTCTTGTTTTGGGCGGCTTCTGGGATGTTAGCAAGATATTTGAGGCTTTTTGCAATTGGCTTTATTATCTAAAAAATGCATTTTCTTTTGCAATCTTTTCAAAGCAATGCAAATTACTTTTGAATTTATAAATGTTAAAAAGTTATTTTATTCAATTATTTTGTAAATAATTATTTCAATTATTTTGTAAATAATTTATTCAATTATTTTGTAAATAATTTATTCAATTATTTTGTAAATAATTTTCATGGTTATTATAAATAATATAATATATCATGATATGAAACTGCATAGTTTTTATTTTCTTATTACATCTTTTATTGACAAAAAAATGTTTTTTGTTAGTACTTTCTGCGAATAGTTATGCAGAATTCTGCGTTTCTTTAAAAAGATAATTTTCATTTTACATAACGGTAACATAACGGGTAATTACCCGTTATGTTAGGTTTTCAACATAACGGTAACATAACGGGTAATTACCCGTTATATAACGGGAGTTTTGCTATACATGTTAATTTTTTTATACATGTTAAGTATTAAACATAACGGCAATTACCCGTTATGTGCTAGGAAAACTCCCGTTATGTTTTTTAAAAATATAACGGGTATTTTATTTACTGTGTATATATATATATATATATATATATATATATATATATATATATATATATATATATATATATATATATATATATATATATATACATATATATATATATATATATATATATATATATATATATATATATATATATATATATATATATATATATATATACATATATATATATATATATATATATATATATATATATATATATATATATATATATATATATATATATATATATATATATATATAAGATAAAAATTATTTAAACAAGATATAGAGGTTACAAGTACTCAAAATGCGGCGTTTCAAAATTTTATTCAAAATTGTAGCTGAGCAATCTTGACTATGTTACCGAATTTTGTATACAAAATTTTATGAAATGTTTCTCAGGAAAACTTATGTTTTTGACGGGTTTTTCTCACCAGCCCATAAATTTTTAAAAGAATGTCAAACATTTCGCTGCGTATTAACTTAAATTGGACTGGGAGTTAAATAAAAGGGTAAATCGGCTGCAGTATTAGTAGCAATAGTCAATTTGTCATATTTTGAAATGACTATACAAGTACTCCCGATAATTTATTGTATATTAAAGCTATTTAGCTGCAATGTTTTTATTAACAAGGAGGTCTTATGAAGTGACTAAAAGTCATCAAGCGAGAACTTGTAGCAAAAACAGAATTTGTGTAGCAAAGACAAAACTTCTGTTAAATATTCACTCTGCGTTTATAAAACTTTTTTTAATAAGCTGGATAGCAATCAAATGAAAGCAATAGTTTTTTAATTATAAAAACTAAATTAAATCGTCTGTTGGTTTGCTTCTTCTTTATTTAGTCTATTAAGAAAATTGTGAAAATTTGTTTATGTTTATGAAAATGGTGAAATTTGTTGATGTTTATAAAAATGGTGAAAAATTTGTTTATGTTTATGAAAATGGTGAAAAATTTGTTTATGTTTATGAAAATGGTGAAAAATTTGTTTATGTTTATGAAAAATGATGAAATATTGCTGTTTTACAAGTTATTTATCAATGAAGAAATCAATCAATTTTTTTTTTTTTTTTTTGATGTTTTGGTACCTCAAGAAGACCTAACGGTCTTGTCGCAGAGCAACGTGGAAGTGCATTTAACAAGGAAGTGCACTCCTCGTTCCTAGCAGTAACGCGATAATATTTCTAGAGCTCGTTTCAAACCTAGATTTCCTGCTTATAAAGCAAGCGCTGTTACCACTGCACCACGGCCGCACGTTAAACGGTTTAAAAACGTTTGAAAAAGTTTATAGGTTTCCCAAAGACAAAAAGATAAAACACGTTAGATAAAATGTTTACCTAATACAAGTTTTAAAACGTTTAGCAACACTTAAGTGTATGACCAGGTTGGCATCGAAACTTTAAAAATGTTAAACTAAAATAACATTTATTATAAAGGAATTTTCTAAAAGGAAATTTCTACTGCTTTTCTTTCTAATTTGAAAATTTCTATTAGAAGCTATTAATCTCTGTGACAAGATATATGTTACAAAAATGTTAATACGAGTTGCTTGATAGTCCTAAATTTCTTATGAAAATGTTTTAAAAACCTGTAAACAAATTAATTACTAATTTTTATGTGATCAAATTCATTTAACTCTAGAATCAGTGAGAAAGTCAAATAGCAAAGCAAAGGAAAAAAACTCTAACATTTTATGAAAAAAACTATTAACTACATAATTTGTAGTTAAACAACTGTTTAGTTTGTAATACAAATGGAAGTCTTTTGTTATTTGACTTTTATCCTCGTTATCTAAAACATACGAAATAATGGACTCAGAATTTCTGAGAATATCTGAAAAAAACTTTTGCTTTCTGACAGAAAGTGTGGGCATTTCAGGTTCAATAATGACAAACAAGCTTCCTCAGAGATCTAACTGATGAACAAAAAAAGTTTGTTTTGGATTTTGGCGATACAGCATTATGCAAGAAACATATCAGAAAATAAGCGTAACATATCAACACATCTAACAAGGCATTTTACATAGGCATACACATGATGAAATAGTCTAACTGATTAAAACTCTATTAAGTGATATTCTTTTGTTACAAATTTGTTATGTTAAAAAAATTTGTTACAGAATTACCTATAACAGAATTTAGAAATTTAAGAAAAGTATCTGTAAAAAGTATATATATATATATATATATTTTTTTTTTAATTATTCACCTTCCCACAGCCCGAGGGGGTCACTACAGTCGAGGAGGCTACTCATTTTTTTTTTGTTTTTATTTTTTTATTTTTTGTTGTAAATCGTGGTACAACCCTCTCTCAACTCTTAAACTTCGAAACACGACTTTGACAAGCAAGACCGCTGCGCGGAGAAATTAAGTTGATTATCTTATTATCTTAAACAAGATTATTATCTTAAACAAAGAACCATTGTATTAAGTTTTTCTTGTTAGGTCGACATTTATTCACTGACATTGTTTTTTTATTATTGTAAAGATGTTTAATATTAAAATTATGAAAATATTTATGAATTGTTTTTGTAAATTCATATAAACCAGCGTCAATTTTAATTTTCAGATATTTTATATTTTATAAACTTTATAGTATTATATATATATATATATATATATATATATATATATATATATATATATATATATATATAAAGGGAAAAAGTTGTTTGATTTTGTACAAAATCAAACAACTTTTTCAGGGAAAAAGTTGCTTGGTTTTGTAATCATATATATATATATATATATTTATATATATATATATATATATATATATATATATATATATATATATATATATATATATATATATATATATATATATGATTACAAAATCAAACAACTTTTTCCCTGATTTTCTACTTTTCTCAAGCACTTAGAAATATTGTTTTTTGTTCTTATTGTAGAGGGATGGTTGATGCCCAAAATTTTAGTTTGTATTTTATCAACGGAATAATAAATTTTTAAAGCTTCATTATATTTTCCCAGATTGGTTAAACAGTTTGCCACATTGCTTTTTGTTTCCAATGTACATGGATGGTTGATACCTAAAATTTCGATTTGTAATTTATTAACAGAATAATAAATTTCTAAAGCTTTGTCATAATTTCCCATGTCTTTCAAACAGCTTGCTATATTATTTTTTGTTGCCATTGTAGATGGATGGTTTATACCTAAAATTTCAATTTGTAATTTATTAATAGAATAATAAACTTCTAAAGCTTCGTTACGTTTTCCCATAATGTCCAAACAGCTTGCAATATTATTTTTTGTTGCCATCGTAGATGGATGATAGTTACCTAACATTTCAGTTTGTATTTTATCAACAGAATAATAAATTGCTAAAGCTTCATTATATTTTCCCATTTCGTCCAAACAGATTGCAATATTATTTTTTGTTGCCATTGTAGATGGATAGTTGAAACCTAGAATTTCAATTTGTATTTTATCAACGAAATAATAAACTTCTAAAGCCTCATTATATTGACCCATTTTACACAAACAACTTGCGATATTATTTTTTGTTGCCATTGTAAATGGATGGTTAATACCTAAAATTTCAGATTCCGTTTTTTCAAAAGAATAATAAATTTCTATAGCTTCTTTATATTTTCCCATTTCGCACAAGCAGATTGCAATATTATGTTTTGTTGCCATAGTATCTGGATGGTTTATACCTAAAATTTCAGATTCTTTTTTCTCAAAATAATAATAAATTTCTAAAGCTTCATTGTATTTACCCATCTTACAAAAACAGTTTGCGATATTATTTTTTGTTGCAATTGTAGATAGATTGTTGATACCTAAAGTTTCAGTTTGTATTTTATCAACAGAATAATAAACTTCTAAAGCTTTGTTATATTTTCCCATATCGTACAAACAGCTTGCGATATTATGTTTTGTTTCAAGTGTAACTTCATTATTTTCTCCATAGGTTTCTGCATTAAAACTATGAACAGCTTCTAATATTTCGATTGCTTCATGAAATAAACCTTTACATAATAATAAAGTTTTTATAAAAGTTGTCATAAAATAAAAAGTTTTCAACATTTTCTTTCTTTTAAAACGAAACAGGTGGAGAAAATGAAAAGCAAAATGTTTTCCGTAATCAACATGATCTTTTATATTGATTAACTCAAATACAAAATAACTTTTGATTAGGTCAAAATACGTATTTGTACTTGAATTTTTATTTTGAAAACATTTACATGATAACTGTATTAGTTCGTGCATTGAATATTTGTCATCGTCTAAATGATTTAATAAAGAGTAATTTATTAGTAAACCAATTGCTTCATCTATTAAGTACTCTTCGCTTATTGCCATGTGTTTTGAGATTTTGATTATAAACTGCTTACTTATGTTCTGACCATTACAATGAGACAAAAGGTTTAGTAATTTATATGAAGTAACTTTAGTTTTTTCTAATTTTAATAACACTAAATTGATTGCTTTAATTGCAGACTTTGATTCTTCTTCGGTTGGAATACTTTCATTTTCCAGTACTTTTAAAGGCTTTGATTTGAATCGATCTAAATATTTCGCTATGGATATTTTATGTATGTTTATATATTTAATTGCTTGAGTTATAGCGAACGGATGATTACCAAGTTCTTTTATTAGGCTTCTTATATTTTCGTTGGGTTCTTTTATACTATTTTTCACATAAGCAAAAGCATCTTCCGCGGAAAAAACATCAATGAACATTTGATTTACGTTGTTTGACCACGTTCTCCATTGAGAGGTTATTAAGGTAAACGAATTAGGTTTCCTTGATATGTACATTTCTAAGTTTTTAACACTTTCATCGTCGGCATTGTCGAAAATATACAAAGTCTTTTTATGTTCATAGTAGTTGTGAATTGTTTTTATAATCACTTCTATATCAAAGGAACCGCCTTCATTGGAATCGCCTTCATTTTGTAAATCTTGAACATTTAATCTAAGTAAGTGATAGTGATTAATCACTGAAGATTTCAAATCTCCAAATGATGCATCTATCCAAACAAAGTTTTGATAAAATTTATTATAAACTTCACAATATTTTCTGGCAATTTGTGTCTTTCCGACACCAGACATTCCATGCAATACTAACGGAGATTTTTTTGGGTATTGTAATTCAATAAAATATTGATGAATTTTAGACAGTTCTTTTTTGCGTAAAAATAACATTTCAGAAGAAGGTTGAACACCAAATATTGAAGGTAAAGTGAGCACTATAACAAAAACATCAAGTTATACTTTTTTTTTTTTAGTATTAATGTTGAAATTTAAATCTTTAAAAATACAACGAAATTAAAAATAATCAAAACAAACATAAAATATTATAAATTTATATTATTGTGGTGCGCAACAATTTTTATAAGTAAAAAAAAGTTATATTACAAAAAAATATGATATAAATATGTTACAATAGTAACGTTATATTATTGTAAATTAAGAATACGAATTAAACAAATTTTTAATGATTTTCTGAAACTTTTTTAATGCCACTAATACTTAAATGATTTAGTTTAGATCTACTCAATTATTCTACTAATTTATTCATAGCGTCATAAACTATGCAAATGTTGTTTGGGGAAGTACTTACAAAAGTAAGTTACGAAATCTCTACCATCACCAGAAACACGTGATGGGTTTTAATTGTTTTGAAAATAGTTTTACTCACTCAATATATTTTATTTAACAACTTTAAAGCACCTAACGTTTACGAACAAAATGTCTATAATATTTTATGTTTTATGTTCATTTTTGAAAATCTTTTTACCCATAAAGCTATAAACAAATATACTTTACAAAATAATAATTTGTTAATTGAACCATTTTGTCAAACAAAGTTTAATCAATTTTGCATAAACTATCGAGCATCGTAACAAAATTGGAATGGAAATGAAATGGAACAAAATTGTTTTTCCTCATTTTGATTTGTCAGTTTCGTTTTCCGTTTTTAAAACTAAATTAAAAACCTATATTCATTCTACTGGTAATTTATATAAATATTTTTGAAATATAAAATTATTTTCACTCTGGATATTTTGTAAAACTATTTTCAGTCTTAGTTTATTCTACATTGTTAATAGTTCTTAAATCAATTTTACTTTCATTTTAATATTTATACATGTTTGATATATTTTATATGGTTCTGGCAACAAGATCTTTTGGATCTTCTTTCAGATACCAAGTTTATATATTGTTATACTGTTATATTACGATTAATAATTGTAAACTTAAAAAAAAAAGTGTAAGTCGTATTTTTTCGCGAATCGAATTAAAGGGGATTTTTTTTAACAATATTAATGACTCTGCAATTTAATTTTAAATTAATTTTTTACTAATTTTTTAATCACGAGTTTAGTTAAAAAAGCAAGAAGATTAAACTAAATTCATAATTTGCCCAACTTTAACATTTACCCATTGATAGGTATTTTTACAATAACCTGTTGATAGGTATTTTAACATTTACCGTTTAATAGATATAAAGAAGACCAAAAAAATACTACGACCAGTATTGAAAATTAAATTATATAACCTTTTAAAAAATCCAGTAAAAATCATATATACATCACTATATTTGTCACACGTTCTGCAGCCACTAGATCGACAGTTTTATTTATTGAAAAAGTTTATAAATAAAAAGAATACTTTAGAAAGCTGCAAATACGTTTTATAATTTATACAAAAACATCTTAGCGCTTGAGGGGCAAACGCTAGATTTTTCGATGTTTCTAATATGACATACTCAGGCATTATGAAAGTTCCAGTTTTGAGTAAGTTCATGTTTATGTTAAATAAGAATGCTTTTTCAAAAAATTGCGGTGGATGGAGCCTGTGGACAAAAATTTTAAAAAATAGGTTTGCAGTCCGAATGTCAAATGCGAGGAAAACGATTAAATAAAAAAATTTTAATACACTTTTTTATGTTAAACTTGAAATCACTGATTTTAAAATTCTTTTAGTTTGCATAAGAATATGAATTTTCTTTACAAAAAATAAATTTTACATATGTCATAACCATTAAACATTGAAAAATAAGGAAGAAATTTTACATAGTCATAACCTTTAAACACTAAAAAATAAGGAGGCTTTCAATTTTACATAGTCATAACCATTAAACACTAAAAGAATTTTAAATAAATTTTAAAACCTGTTGATGACCTTAAGTTTAGTATAGAATTGTAAATAATATTTTTTTAACTTGTTAATCGTTTGTAGCAACGGTTGCAAAGCTAAATTGGATATTTTTGGTATCCCCTTAAAATGAGGAGGTTTAAACTTTAAATAGAGATAATAAAAATTTATGGATGAATATAAATATAGCTGAAAATAATAAAAATACATTTCATCAACTTGTTGCACTCATGTTGGGAACAGTTGTTTCCAAAACTTAAGGGTTTTTTTGTTCTAATCATAAATTGGCTCTAATCATCGCAAAATTTTGCAAATCATCAAATTGGTTATTCTGCTATAATCAGGTCAGGTTAATCTGTTTTAGTCAAGTCAGGTTATCCTGCTACTAGGATACGCCTATTTAGGCAATAGCTAGGAGAAGCCAACTCCGACTTAAAATACCCTCTCCCTTGGGGCTCATGGTTGAGTAAAGACTAGACATGATGTCTTGAAAAAATACTTATCTTGAGCAAACACTTAAGAGGTAAAACACGCTGGTCGCTGGTCAACAGATTCTATCTCTTGACCAGCGACCTTCTTACATTGGCGCAGATTTCCATTTTTACATCGTTTCCAGTTTAGGATGTTGAATGCTGGATCTTTTTGACTCAATGCATGAATTTTGCTTGTGTCTCAGTTTTTATGACAACTCATTCTATTATCTCCTAATGAGAGTACATCTCTAAAACTCAGTTTTATGGTTCTGGGGCCGGCTGGTAGTCAGGTTTCCCGAACTTTGTGGTTGCTCTCAGCGAGGCTGATTCGATAAATAACTGGAAAATATAAGAGTACTAATAGTGCCATGTTGCACATGGATGATGCCCCTGTTTGTACTTTTGGCGTGCATTTTCGTGGCCAAAGTTGGACCCCTTTGTTATGGCTTAGAATTTATTAATAGTAATGAGGAAGTTGCTTGCGCTATTAAACGGTGTACTGAGTTATGTCTTGCTTTGATTCAAGTCCTTTAACAAATTTAAAATTACTAAAATACCAAAAACAATAATACACAAAAAGATATTATCATCACCAAGTTCTCTAAACCTATTATTAACAAATATTTGTGGTCTTCAAAGTAAATTTTTCTTCTGTTGAGTCTTATCACTTACAAAGTTCACCCAACCTACTTGCTTTGTGAGACTAATTTGAATTATAGATGTTACACGTAAAAAAACAACTCAGTATTATTATACCCTTAACTTGAAAAAAAAGATGAACAGCAAATGTGTCAGAAGATGGATTAATAAATGTTGCAAATGAATTATAAATAATAATAGTGAAGTATTTGCAAGAGATTGTTGCAAGAAGTTGTTGTAAGAGGTTGTTGCAAGTAGTAGTTACAAGAGGTTGTTGTAAGACGTAGTTGCAAGAGGTTGTTGCAAGAATCAGTTGTAAGAGGTGCGATTTTTATTTATAACGTTACTTTTAATTTTAGACTAGATTACTTCCTCCGGGTTTAACAGAAGACAGTAAGGTCCTTATAGTAACAACTGAGCAAGGAAATTTTCAAACATACTTTTCAAATAAGCCTTACAAAGAGATCTGTTTGCATCATCAACCATGTTCTCTAAACATTTCCCGAATTTTACTGACTAGTAAGTTATAATCATCACTCACTCGCCTCAAGAATCTGCATTAAATGATCCTTTGGAAATTCCTAGCATTACGGCATTTTTTGCTAATACATCTGCTATCAAATGTATGTTTATCACTTTTTGACGCAGGTATTTATATTATTTCTCTTGTTCCTTGTCTTTTTTGATGTTCTTAACATATTCAGCTCTATTTGTTTGTTTTTATCGCTGTAAAATTGTAAAAAACTTATTTTTTCAAAGTATTTGGCGATTGTAGTTGCGCTGACGTTTATATTAAATTTTCATGATATTTTTGTTTTGCCACTAAATTCGATTGTCAGTAACTTTCATTCAAAGTTAAAATTACTTTAAACATTTTAAATAAATTTAAGTTTTTGCTGCGAATCCATTTGTTTGGTTTCCCAAAGTTTGCATTAGATTCACCAAGTTTTTGTTTCGGTTAGCACAATAATTATTTCAATATTATTTTGCTTCGCATATTCAGCAACTCTTCTTCTGTTTTTTGATAAAGATTAATGTTTTTTGTTTTTTTTCAAGTTGTTCAAATGTAAGTATTTGAGGCATACAAAACAAAGTTTATTTTTAATTTTATTTTTATAACCGTCTAATAATATTTACAAGAAAATAGTCTACATATATTTATATATATATATATATATATATATATATATATATATATATATATATATATATATATATATATATATATATATATATATATATATATATATATATATATATATATATATATATATATATATATATATATATATATATATATATATATATATATATATATATATATATATATATATATATATATATATAAAATATATAAAATACAATATTATTAAATACAGATATTACGAATGTTAAATACAATATGATATAATAACTAATTTTAGAATAATGTGTTTTCCAGTTTTGTGAAGCTTTTAACTCCAATTTTGAAAAGAAACTAGTTGAGTAGTCGATTAAACGGGAAGAGGTTGACTGGTTGATTGAGACTGGTTGAATATGAGGTAAAACTTAAGGTAGTAAACTAGACAAACCTGATAAAATAAATATGTAGTGTTAATATGTTACTGATGGCTCAGACCATTTAAGTATTCGTCACATTTATAATGTAAAAATGGAAATTGAAACATAATTTGCTAAGTTTTTGCTGAAAAAGTATCGTTAAAATAGAAAGAATAGTATTACAGTTTTTTAAAAAGGTTAAAAGAAAGGAAAAGTGTTTTTAGAGATGTTATTAAAGATCTAACAGCAAATAATTAGTGAGGTTTGAAAGGAGAAAAGTCTTTTAATTGATATACCAAAACAAGGTTTCGGCAATACTAATAATTGAAACCATGACAGAAAAGCATTAAAATGATTGGATGCTACGCTGATACAAAAGTAGTATTGGTAACTTGGTGGAAAAAACTTGAAGATTAATAAGCTTTGATTATTAGTTGGTTATTAGTTAGTCAAGATTACCATCAACATTTTTTAGTTAAAGATTAAAGATTTAAAGTTAAGTTAAAGATTTTGTGCTCAAAAAATGCTATTGATTCTTATGTACTTAATTGTTTATAAGCTATTAAAAAGTGGGATGCGGGAAACGAAGGCATTAGAAATGTTTATTCGTGGGATGCGGGAAGAAATGCTTATTCGAAGAAATGTTTATTCGTTAAGCGAAGAAATGTTTATTCGTTTTTAATCTGAAGAGGCTCTGAAAAGAGAACTCTACAGAATGATATAGATAAAACGAAAAAATGATTTATCTTATGCAATATGCGATTTGCGTTTTGCTCAAAGCAATAGAATAAATAACGAATTTAAAAAAAGAAAACTTTTCGAGTGAAATATAAATCAAATACAAATATAATAAAATAGTAAACGTGACATTTTTCGTGAAGTTTAGCGTTGTGTCAAATATATAACATCATCAAGATAAACTTACATTTGATTCAAAAGATGAATCGTATGTAAGGTCTCCAAGATGAATTAAGATGGATATAACCTATGTTCATTATCTTTGAAATTTTTTAAGGGTTTGGAAAAACTATGAGAGCGTAATCTGTACAAAAGTTTTCAACCGGTGACATGACAAACTACATGAAGTTTTCAACCGGTGATCTACATGACAAACTACATGAAGTTTTCAACCGGTGATCTACATGACAAACTACATGAAGTTTTCAACCGGTGATCTACATGACAAACTACATGAAGTTTTCAACCGGTGATCTACATGACAAACTACATGAAGTTTTCAACCGGTGATCTACATCACAAACTACATGAAGTTTTCAACCGGTGATCTACATGACAAACTACATGAAGTTTTCAACCGGTGATCTACATGACAAACTACATGAAGTTTTCAACCGGTGATCTACATGACAAACTACATGAAGTTTTCAACCGGTGATCTACATGACAAACTACATGAAGTTTTCAACCGGTGATCTACATGACAAACTACATGAAGTTTTCAACCGGTGATCTACATGACAAACTACATGAAGTTTTCAACCGGTGATCTACATGACAAACTACATGAAGTTTTCAACCGGTGATCTACATGACAAACTACATGAAGTTTTCAACCGGTGATCTACATGACAAACTACATGAAGTTTTCAACCGGTGATCTACATGACAAACTACATGAAGTTTTCAACCGGTGATCTACATGACAAACTACATGAAGTTTTCAACCGGTGATCTACATGACAAACTACATGAAGTTTTCAACCGGTGATCTACATGACAAACTACATGAAGTTTTCAACCGGTGATCTACATGACAAACTACATGAAGTTTTCAACCGGTGATCTACATGACAAACTACATGAAGTTTTCAACCGGTGATCTACATGACAAACTACATGAAGTTTTCAACCGGTGATCTACATGACAAACTACATGAAGTTTTCAACCGGTGATCTACATGACAAACTACATGAAGTTTTCAACCGGTGATCTACATGACAAACTACATGAAGTTTTCAACCGGTGATCTACATGACAAACTACATGAAGTTTTCAACCGGTGATCTACATGACAAACTACATGAAGTTTTCAACCGGTGATCTACATGACAAACTACATGAAGTTTTCAACCGGTGATCTACATGACAAACTACATGAAGTTTTCAACCGGTGATCTACATGACAAACTACATGAAGTTTTCAACCGGTGATCTACATGACAAACTACATGAAGTTTTCAACCGGTGATCTACATGACAAACTACATGAAGTTTTCAACCGGTGATCTACATGACAAACTACATGAAGTTTTCAACCGGTGATCTACATGACAAACTACATGAAGTTTTCAACCGGTGATCTACATGACAAACTACATGAAGTTTTCAACCGGTGATCTACATGACAAACTACATGAAGTTTTCAACCGGTGATCTACATGACAAACTACATGAAGTTTTCAACCGGTGATCTACATGACAAACTACATGAAGTTTTCAACCGGTGATCTACATGACAAACTACATGAAGTTTTCAACCGGTGATCTACATGACAAACTACATGAAGTTTTCAACCGGTGATCTACATGACAAACTACATGAAGTTTTCAACCGGTGATCTACATGACAAACTACATGAAGTTTTCAACCGGTGATCTACATGACAAACTACATGAAGTTTTCAACCGGTGATCTACATGACAAACTACATGAAGTTTTCAACCGGTGATCTACATGACAAACTACATGAAGTTTTCAACCGGTGATCTACATGACAAACTACATGAAGTTTTCAACCGGTGATCTACATGACAAACTACATGAAGTTTTCAACCGGTGATCTACATGACAAACTACATGAAGTTTTCAACCGGTGATCTACATGACAAACTACATGAAGTTTTCAACCGGTGATCTACATGACAAACTACATGAAGTTTTCAACCGGTGATCTACATGACAAACTACATGAAGTTTTCAACCGGTGATCTACATGACAAACTACATGAAGTTTTCAACCGGTGATCTACATGACAAACTACATGAAGTTTTCAACCGGTGATCTACATGACAAACTACATGAAGTTTTCAACCGGTGATCTACATGACAAACTACATGAAGTTTTCAACCGGTGATCTACATGACAAACTACATGAAGTTTTCAACCGGTGATCTACATGACAAACTACATGAAGTTTTCAACCGGTGATCTACATGACAAACTACATGAAGTTTTCAACCGGTGATCTACATCACAAACTACATGAAGTTTTCAACCGGTGATCTACATGACAAACTACATGAAGTTTTCAACCGGTGATCTACATGACAAACTACATGAAGTTTTCAACCGGTGATCTACATCACAAACTACATGAACTACAAAAGCCATATTTATCAACGTCTTAATAATATAAATTAAGTATTGATTTTAAAAAAAGTGCAGTTTTTTAAAAATAAATTGCAATGCAAAAAATTGTAGTTTTATTAATATAAATAAGGTAGTGATTTAAAAAAGTTTTCTATTTAAAAAAATAATCAAAATAATATTAACCAAAATAATAACTATGGTTATTAATTAAAAAGTACTTATTATTTTAGGTAGTTTAGGTTTCATGTTTTTAGAATAAAGCTTTTACTTTTGCTTCCAGTTGGTTGGTTTAGAATAAAGAGTTTTCACTTTTGCTTCCAATTAGTTGGTTTGGAATAAATAAAGTTTTTACTTTTGCTTCCAATAAACCAAACCTGGATATTGTAAAAATGTATGAGTTTTATTCGTTAAATAAAGTTTTAGTTTTTTAAATAATTTTTTATATTTTTCAATATTTTTAAGTACTTAAGTCTTAGTGATTAAATTTCTATCACTTTTTTTAAATTTTTACTTCTGATGACCTTGTGTAAACCAACAGTAAAATTTTTTTAGTATCTTTTTATTTGTTTGAGCTATTTATATATTAATTTTATCTTGAGATAAAATTAGTATTTTAATTTTATATCTATTTAATATTTAGATTTTATACTTTAGTATTTTCATATTTAATATATATTTATAGTCTTGCAAATCGTTTAACCAATTTATCAAAAAATTATGAACTCAAAAAATAAGAGCATTAAATACCATGAAATACCAAAAAGTACCATTAAATTAGGATAAAGATAAAGCTTACTTCTTTGGCATTTACAGATGATATCTTCTCGTTCACAAAAAATTAACCCAGATTTTATTTCACTCCATATTCTGTCTGGATTATTTCTACACCATTTATTAAATAATTCATAAATTTGTTCTCGAGTTGTATCGCACTCATGTTCAACTCTATTTATTTCTTCATTACTTATGTTCAAGAAACGAGCAAGTTTCTTCCAGTGTTTTGGCAACTCGTCAACAATCGTTTTGATTACATCTCTAGTAAGTTTTTCAACTAAAGGATATAAACATTATTAAAACGAAGAATAAAAAAATCGCGGAAGTTTAAATTTAAATATACCTTTTAAGTCATCGTAGTCAGTGCAATCTTCTTCATTAAAATTCATTTGTTTTTGATGTTATGCTGAAAAATTAAAATAAGTAATGATGAGCGGTAAAATGTAATGTTTTATATTTGTATACAGCATATATATATATATATATATATATATATATATATATATATATATATATATATATATATATATATATATATATATGTGTGTGTGTGTGTGTGTGTGTGTGTGTATGTATGTGTGTGTGTGTGTGTGTGTGTGTGTGTGTGTATAATATACAGTACATGCATTCTATGTCGTTATAATAATATACATTGTATATAATTAAAAATAAACATACGTTTTTTTAACACTTGTTTTGTGTTTGCTGCATACGTTCTTTAACTTAAAAGGTTAGATTTCAATATCTGCGAATAAAACTTGTTTGCTTAGATGTTTATATTAATAATATGGAAAAATTAAATATACTTTATTTTTAATAATGTTATTAATAAAAATAAAGTATGTTTAATTTTTTCATAAAATAAACAATATTTATACAAATGTAAAAATAAACAAATATTTTACCACAAAAGGCAAAAAATATGTAATTCAAAGTAAAAGCAGTAATAAGCCTTTGCGATTAAATGAAATCACATTAAGTTATATTATGATTCTTTGATAAAAAGTAATGAAATATCAGATGACATTTATTAAAAAACTAGGTTGTCAAATAATCTTGTGCAAACGAGTTAATATAATACGGCATGGGTATGAAAAAATCACGAGATATAATATATAATATATATTTCGCCATAAAGAAAATATTTACAAAATTAGACTTTAAAAACTGTATACACGGCTGGGGCAAGAAGAAGGGGCTGGGGCTGATATACACGGCTGGGGCAAGAAGAAGACAAATTCAGTCTTATCGCCAAGCCCCTTCAAACAAGAATATAAGTAACAAACAAAACAAAAAACCAAAAAACCAAAAGAAATCCGTTATCACAATATAATATATGCGTAAGGTATATATATAAATACAAATATCTAAATATTTTTCAATAAAATTTAATATTTTTTTTTAGTTTTTTTTTTATTAGGATTTCAAATTTTAATAGTTAATAAAAATGAGATAAAACATGATAATTTAAGACATGATAATTTAAGAAGGTAAAGATTCAAATTAAAATCAAAAATTAATATCAAGTAAAAAACAAGTGATTACTCCTATTTAAAAGTTTCAGAAGAAGTCAATTTCATTGTCAATTATCAAAAGTTTACTTTTTATTTTTATTTTTAAATTGATCAAGGGAAGAAATTTTTTTAAACTCATTATCCAATAGGGTGTTCCATAATTTAGGTCCTCTGATTGCTATCGAGAACCTAGTCGCAGAATAATATTTTTTTGGTTGAATATAATTGTTGTTTGAAAATCTTGTTGGGTATAAATGATTTATTTTTTCGAAAAATGAATTAAGTAAAATGGGTCCCATTTTATTATCTACTTTGAACATAAATATAAAAATATGATATGGGTTAAGTTGAAATACGTTAAGTATTTTGAATTTATTAAAAAGTAATTTAGTGTGCGAAAAGCGAATCACATTTCCAATAATTCTTAGAGCGTGTTTTTGTTTAATTAGAAGCCCTTTATTTTTAGATACATTAGTGTTGCACCAAGCAACGTTAGCGTAATTTAGATAGCAATGAATAAAAGAAAAGTAAATAAGTTTCAAACAAGTTTGGTTCAACAACTGTTTTGCTTTATATAAAAGGCCTATATTTTTCGAAATTTTATTTTGGATTATTCGTATGTGCTCCTTTCATGTTACGTTTTCATCTAAAACAACGCCTAGAAACAAAAAAGAACTATCTCTTTTGACATAAGATTTATTAATAAAAAGCTTAGGAAGTTGTAAGGGTATGTTGTCTTTATCATGAAGACGATGGAAGAAAGTATATTTTGTTTTTTTAATATTTATGGACAATTTATTTGATATAAACCATTCGCTTAGTTTCACAAGCTCCTCGTTCACTGTTGTAAATAAATACTTAACATCTTTATTTGAATAAAATACGTTAGTATCGTCAGCAAATAAAATTGAATTTAAGATATTGGAAAATTTACTCAAATCATTTATATAATTAAGAAATAAAAGCGGTCCTAGAGTTGATCCTTGGGGGACTCCGCAGGTAATTGTCATCAAGTCTGTTTTCTTGCCATCATATAAAATGCATTGTTTCCTATTCTTTTAATAACTCTTAAACCAGCCTAAGTTAGAATTTATGATACCATAATTTTTAAATTTATAAAGAAGAATATTATGATCTACGGTATCAAACGCTTTGCTCAGATCAATAAAGACACCTAAAGTAAATTTTTTTTCATCAAACGCTTTAAAAATTTCATGCACAAGATTAATTATTGCGTGATCGGTCGAATGACCGGATTTAAACCCGAATTGTTTATTGTAAAGAATATTATTTACATTTAAGAAAGAATAAAGTCTAATATACATTATACGCTCCAAAATCTTTGAAAAACAATTAAGAACAAAGATCAGTCTGTAGTCGAAAACATCAGAAGGATCACCTGTTTTAAAAATTGGTGTAACTTTTGCACCTTTTAGTTTTAGATAGAGCAAAATACTTATAAAAAACTTTCTTTTTTTTTTACATTTACTTTTTTTAGTTACTCAGAAATTGGATAGGTCCAGTATACTTGGTAAATGATGTTATATTCATTAAATTTTCAACATTTTTGAAAAAGATTTAATTATTCTATATTTTATTGAGAGAAGCAAAAAATTTGAATTATTTAATAACTTTTTTAGATTATAATTTAAACGCGAAACATAAAGTGAAAAACCAGAACAATAAATCTTTTTATTATTACTTTAGATTATAATTTGCTTAAAAAAACTTTCAAGAGCTTTAAATGTTAATGGAAACCATGGAAACCATGGGTTACAAATGAAATTATAAAATTGAAACCATATATATATATTTTTTTTTTTTTTTTTTTTTTTTTTTTTTTTTTTGGTTTGCCAGAATATGTACAAAGTAAATTTACATTGAATATATTACCGGCAGGACTTCTAGAAGATCACAGGATCTTATCATGAAGCCCTTTACAATCTACAATCTATATAACAAAAAGAATACAATATTCTAATATTCTTCACAGTCTATATAATAAACAAAATAAAGTATAAATCAAAATAAATAAAAAAAAAACAACTTAAATACTAAAAATAAGATATAAATATTTTTTGTTGAAAAGATAATTTCTTTTACTTTCCGTTTTCATTTCTTTAAGAAGTGGTGTTGAGCTTGAAAAACGATTTGCAAAATTAATTGTGCGAGCTGCGTGTTTCTGATGTCGATAGAGAGATTTAAGTTTGGTTTTTTAGCGCTTCCCCATATTATATTTGCATAATTTAAATGGCAATGAATAAATGAATAATAGAGTTGTGTTAATTGATGTTTATTTAATATATGTCTAACTTTGTATAGAACTCCAATGCTTTTAGCAATTTTCATTGAAATATTGTCAATTTGTTGCCTCCAAGATAAGTTTTCATCTATTATAACTCCTAAGAATTTTTTATTTTTTTCTCTTTTTATTACTGTACTGTCAATATATAAGTCAGGCAAGATATTTTGAATTTTCTTTTTTTTTAGAAATTGGATGAAAAAGTATTTTTTTTTTTTTTTTTTTTTTTTTTTTTTTAATTTTTTTTTTAGTTTACAATGTTAGTCGTGATACAAAATAATATAAGTCGTGATATATAATAATATAAGTCTGATACATATACAATAATATAAGTCGTGATATATAATAATATAAGTCTGATACATAAAAATATTTAAGACTTCTACAAGAAAAGAAAAAAAAAATGAGTATATATATATATATATGTATATACAATTCAGCGTACTAACAATATAAGACTAGGTTTCCGAAAGAAGATCAGAAGGATCTTATCACCGGAACCTTAAAAAAGACATAATGCAAAGATTTAACATAATGCAAATATGCAATATACTAATACAATATAACATAATGCAAATATACAGTATACTAACATTTTAATACTCAATATGCTGAAGATTTGAAAAATACATTTTACATAAATTTTTAGTAGAATTTTAGAATGTTGTCCATACAGAGAATGAAGTTTTTTAATTTAGTTTTAAAAACAGGAAGAGTAGTAGAAGGGTCAAAATTTGGTAATACTATTTTATTCCAAAGATGGGGTGCACGATATGCAATACAGAATTGGTTGAACTTCGTTTTACAAAATGGTTCATTTAGAAAACTATTACTTCTTAATGTGTATTTATTTATTGGTTTTAAAGAAAAAAGGTCATTGAAAACAAATAAAGATAAATCGTTTTTCCACATAAAAGTAAAACATAAAACATTAAATATGTTAAGTTTATAAACATCTAGTACATTCATATAATCAAAAAAATATTTCGAACGTGAAAAGCGATCCGCATAATTAACTACACGGATTGCATGTTTCTGACGGCGATAAAGATGTTGTAATTTACTTTTCTCCGTACTTCCCCAGGCTATGATTGCATAATTTATATAATTATGTATAAATGAATAATAGAGCTGGGTTAAGTTTTTTTTGTTTAGATAATTTCGAGCTTTGTATAAAATGCCAATATTTTTAGAAACTTTGGTGCTTATATGATCAATATGTTTTCTCCAAGTAATATTTTCATCAAGATAAACACCTAAGAATTTTATAACAGTATCTCTTTTTATTATAGTTTCATCAATGTAAATTTGAGGCATATTATTTGTTAAAAATCGTTTTTTTGCGCAGGAGTGAAAAATAATCCATTTTGTTTTGTTAATATTTAAAGTTAATTTATTAGCTTTGAACCAGTTCGAAATGTGTTTGAGTTCTTTGTTTGTAGTTGAAAAGAGTTCATAAATATCAGTATGGGATAAGAAAAGATTAGTATCATCAGCGAACATTATACTTTTCAATTTGGAAGCTTTGTTTAAATCGTTTACATAGATTAAAAATAGTAGTGGTCCGAGAATAGAGCCTTGTGGAACACCACAAGTTATGCTCAGGGGTTCACTTTGATAACCATCATTACTATACACAAGTTGCTTTCGATTTGTTAAATAGCTTTCAAACCATTTTAAAATTTTATTGTTTAAACCATAATATTTAATTTTTTGGATTAAGATGTGGTGATCGACCGTATCAAAAGCTTTTGATAGGTCAATAAAGACACCTAGTGTGTATTGAGATTTTTCAAAAGATTTAGAGATGTTATGTATAAATTGAATGATGGCATGTTCAGTTGAGCTCCCTTTTCTGAAACCATACTGATTGTTATATAATAAATTGTTGTAATTAAAATAATTGTATACTCTATTGAAAATAATTCTTTCTAAAATTTTAGAAAATATAGAAAGAACAGAGATAGGGCGATAATTAT